ACTTGCGAAGACAGAACTTCCATGGTTGTCTCAAATCCCAAACTCCACACAACCAACCAATTAAATCCAAACCAGTCACAATAGCACAACCCAACCATCACCCGACTAAACTACATCGTCAAATCCGAGTTCTAACCGATTGAAACCTCATTCTACTCCCAAAACCAACTTCTAACCTAAGTGGAAAAAGAGTAGAAACTCTACAAAATCCAAACACATACACATACAATCATATACATTAAAGAGATGATGGAGTTTCACACCCTTACCGATCGATTGCAAGCTTTGGTGATGATCCCTTGATGATTCTAGGTTTTCCTCTCCACTTTCTCTTCTCTTTCTCTTCTCCTCTTTTCTTTCTCTTGTTTTTCTTCTTATCTTACTATCTTTCTTCCTTTTCCTCTCTTATTCTATTTCTATCTCTATTTCTTTCCTCTCAAATTCTTTCCAACACTTACCAATCAATTCTCACACTAAAGTGCTAAATGTCTAAAATGCCCTTTTTACTCTAATTCCCCAAAAACTCTCCGAATCGGTAAAAATAGATAAAATAAGCAAACACCACATAACAATATATAATTTCTCAATTTAAACAAACATCAATTAAATAAATTAAAAGACTCAACAATTAATGGGAATTCAGAATCGGGGCGTTACAGTTAATGCCTAGTGCACGATTTCCTAGGATCTAGGAAACGTGATGACGGCTAGAGATTATGGCGTGCTTTGATGAGACGTTTTTCAGAAACTGCTATGATGATCATGACATCATGGATTTTTGGAATAGTAAGAGACATCAAAAACATGCAAAATTCGTTTGAAGCGTCGAATGACACTATAAAAAAATGCCTTTTTCTTCAGTGATGTCGAAAATGACATTTGGGGGGGGGGGGGGCAATTTGTTGACTCTTAATTTCGACGCCTGAATGGGATTAAAAGTAGGAAATATATTTTCTGAAGAAATTTAATGACTTTGACTGAAGCCATATTTTTGGAATATGAGTCGAAGGCATCCTTTCGCCAGGAGAATCTAAGTTACGGACTTAGAGATATTTCTTAGCAGTTGAAAGATTTATTTTGACAGAAGTGGCACTGAAAGCATTTCGACAGGAAGATATGAATTCAAATAAAGGAGGGAAAGTTCATTCTCATTCATTCTTCAAAGAAGACACGTGGAGCGCTTCTAGGATTCAAAGGCATGCAGAGTGACACTTGTCTCGATTTTGTTTACTAGTCGTTATGGAAATTATTTCCGATTAGTATAAATAGCAAGTCTTAGTGTTATGATTTGTGTGTTGAATTGTGTACAAATTCTTCAGTATACTCCAAGTACCTGTTTGTTGAGAGAAACGATTTTTTAAGAATGTACGTTGATGTGACACCATCTTTTCATTTCAATGCAATTTAATGAATCTTTTTCTTTAAAAATTTATTCTTCTTTATGCAAGTTCTTGTCTTCATCATTTACCAGTACTTTGATTTACTTCTTTTCACCCAAATCCATTTACATTTGAGATAAGTCATTTTATCATGAACTCTGTCGAAATGTTCATCTATTTTATAAACTTTATTTAAGATCAATTAGCACATGTCCTAGGATTTGTGTGGTCGATCCTGCAAGTAAAACATATATTTTTCGATTTATAAGACTAGCGGTTGTTCACAAATTTTCACGGCGAACACCCTGATTCCACATCCTGGCGCATTAGCGTGTCTCTGAGGTCTACCACAATTTTGTGGAGGTGTTTGTGGTATTTGCGTATTGCCTTGCTGAAAAGGTATTTGTTGAGAAGGTCCCGACGTATTTGAAAATTTTTGAATCATCTGTTCCCAATAGTCGGGGGTTGCTACCAACGACGCTTTCGTAATTCAGTTATATGCCCATGTTTTCGAAGTTGGGACATGGAGGTTGGGTTAGGTGTAGACCGTATGGTTGGCTGAATTGGTACATTGAATCGTTTTAGAAATGATGCAACGACTGTTGTGGGGTAAGGTAGTCAAATAGTGTTTGGGTGTTTTGGTGGTATGACAATTGTGTGTTCATTTGTGGGGGGCTATGGTGGGCTGGGGTGGAGTTGAAAGAGTCATCAGGGTTATAGGCAGATGTGGTATCGTTGTGTGGGTGTTGGCGGTATGGTTCAGACTCTTGTTGTTGTGATTGGGTGGGTGGCATGAATGGGTTGCGGGTCTAAAAGTTTGATTGAGTGGGATAATATTGTTGTTGGGTGTGGTGCGAGGTTGGTTGTTGGACAGGTGTTCGTTGTTGTGTGTATGATGAAGAAACACGTTGGCGCAGATATATCAAATATATCGGCTCAGACACAAATTATTGCTTTGTAACCGACCTAAACCAAATCATATATTGATGACGTGATCTAGCCCCTTCTACAATAGGATCCTCTAAGATGTGGTGACGCCGATTCTTCCAATGTTGACACATCTCTTTAGCAAAGTCTCTCCAATCATCTACACCCTATTGTATATCCACTCTCAATTGATGTCAGTCTCCCAAAGACGTCGGAGCGACTGGAATATCTTAATGCATGTCGAACTGCACTTTCACCCGATCACTTTGGTGCATCTCCACTGTAGTGAACCGAATGATCGGTGTTTTTGTTGTCCATACTGCAGCATCATCGACGTTGGGCTGATGGTCGAGACCTACATACGACCTCTAGACAAACTGCATGAACAAAATATTTAATGAGAAAAATTAAAGTGTGTTAACTTAATACCCAAATTTATAGTAGTGTAAGAACAATTTACATTGTTCGGTCCAATGTGTTCTAAAAGATTGCGGTACACGATTATTGAGTTTCTAGGACATTGTTGGTAAGTCATTCCCAAAACTGACCACCTAAAAAAAGTGAGATAAATAAATTAGTTACAAATAAACATTTAATCAAAGTATACATGTTTGATATTTTAAAATAAACTTACTTGTTTGCATAGGGGAATGTGTACGGATGCGGGTTGACCGGAGTTAGTGTCAACATTCTAGACCAACCCCATGCTTGAAGTAGAAAGGCACATCTATAAAACGTACACATATTTTTTTTTTTTTGAATTTTTACACAAGGAACTATATAGTTAGGCCATAACAGCTAAACCCCGACTATAAGTGCATACTTTATTAATGTTGCGTAACAACGACAAATATATAATATTTATAGTATTTCTAGTACTTTTTGGAAATAAAAAATGTCCAAATAAGATCATAATATAACACAGAATTTTAATTATCTTGTCGTACTCGATGGATTCGTCGTTTAATATGATAGTTTTATAATGGTCTATAAAGTATTTTAAATTTATACTTTGACCCCTTGGTTGACCTGCACGTTGTGGCTGAGGTGTATCGACACAAAGAGGAGCACCAAACAAATCTTCACAAATTTGGTTATCAACATTAACTTTGTCGTTAACGGCCTTACCATCGATGTGTAGGCCCAATAACATACAGACATCTTCCAATGTGACGGTGCATTCACCGAAAGGAAGGTGAAATGTGTGGGTCTCTGGTCTCCAACGTTCTAGTAAAGCTAGAACAAATTTGGGGTAAATTGAGTAAGAAGTGATTTTTATCAAATCATCGAATCCACATGATTCAAGGTATCCTAAGAACTATACATGAATGTATGAACATCTTGGTCATTAGTAACATTTTCCCATAAACGAACTTCTCCATTTTGGTTGAACGTGGTAACAAGCCTTTGAATTCTTCTGATTTTTTCACCCTTTGGAATGTCTCCATTTAACCAGCGGATCAGACTCCTCTTAAGATGTTCTAACGCCAATGTATTCTAGAGGCAAATCTTCATTGGAGGTTTGACTGGGGAGAAAACTAAATGGACATTTCTCTTTGTGATATATGGAACCTAATAGATATATGAGGATGACGAAAAGGAAGAAGAGGAAGTCAGTTTAACTGAAAAATGCAAGGAAATATGAAGAGAATGTAGTGCAGAGAAAAATGAGACATTGGTACAGAGAACTACATACATAAGTGGTTATATATATATATATATATATATATATATATATATAGGAGAGGATAATATAATTAATTAATAAAAAAATTGAAAATAAATAAATAAAAGGAGACACCATATCATATGATGCATATTCATGATTGAAAAAAGTGTAGACGCCATATAATATGTCTTAGGTACATACATAAGTCATATGATATGGCGCATGTGTACAAATTCAAGTACATTTGTCATATCATATTACACATGCATACTATCAATTTGAAAAATTATGTTATTTTTGTTAATTTTTTTTAAAATACGGTTTATTTTTGTACTTTTATTGAATATATACGTTGTTCTAAAAAAAATTCTTCTTTGCTTCTTAAAAATTAAAAAGCATATTAATCGGAGAGAGTTGATTTAGAGTCAATTTTAATATAGAATATATTTTATATTTCAATTTCGGTTATAATTCGATGCTTTGTTTTTGTTTTTGTACAAAATTGTTTTTATTTTTAAATTTGTTATGATATTCATTTGAATTAAATTAGCCGATATCGTCTATCTAATTTCAATAAATCTTGAAGTAATGATTTTTGTTTGAAAATCTTAACAAAACAGAAATTAAAAACACAATTTTTGAATTTAGAATTTAAACGATTTGAATTTACTTGACGACTATAATTAATTGTAATTATGAGAATACCTAAGAATCCAAATTCATACAGTTGGATTTCCAGATTTACATAACCGAAGTAAATTCGTAACTTTATCCAAATAAAAAAAAGCACTCCACCAAATTGTAAATCATAGTAAAGATGCATTATAATGCTGCTGTAACTGCCGCATTATTGTGGGCGCAACGCAATAACTGCATCGAGTTCAGAATGGACTTTACAATGTTCACAAATATTTCTCTTCTAGTTTCTTACATAAAACAACCAAATATAAATCTCAAAATTCTAATAAATAATTCATACATCATCTGAGTTCAATCTAACTATAACTATAGAAGAAAAAAAAGCATCACCTTCTTCGTCTCCGATCAGCACCGTACTGAGAAAGCGGAACAACCTCTTGAAGCGGAGTAGCTAGCGGCGTTGGGAGCGGGGAGTTTCGACAAACGGGACAAGAGCCGTTAAGCTTCAACCAGGAGTCAAGACAACAGAGATGAAAGTAATGACGACACTCAGGCATCATCCTAACCATCTCGGAATCTTTATACTCACACAAACAAATAGAACAGGTTGTGTTCTGTCCTAATACGGTAGCGTTGTCTCTGTTGAATTGAAACCTGGGATACGAATTTATCACGTTGTCTTCTAGACCGACCACCGTGTTTTCTTGGGCGAGTTGGTTTTCTTCATCGGTTTCAGAAATGAAGATGTCACGTGACAAAACGATACCTTCTGTGTAGTTGTTGGGATTGTTGTTGTTGGGATTGTTGTTGGCGAGGTTGTTGTTGTTGTTGTGATTGGTGCGGCAACAGAGGTAGAAAGAGAGGAAGAGAGTGGCGAGGAGGACGAGGAAAGCGAGGGCTATGGCTATGGAGTAGCCAAGGCCAAGGTTGGTGAAGTAACTGTGTGGAGAGGACATGGAGAAGGGAGAGGGAGAGGAAGAGGAGGAGGAGAAAAAGGGGAATTCTCCATTTGTGAGGGAGAGAAAGAGGAATTGAGGGAGGAAATTAAGGGGTTAGGATGGGATTATTTTTTTGAGGGGTAAAGGGTGGGTGAGGGTTTTATCTGCTGCATTTAATACTGCGTTTTTGTGGAGAGATTCAAGTTTCAAATTTCAATAAGGGAGTTAGGATGCATTAAATTGTATGGGGGGAGAGAGAGAGAGAGTGTGACTGGGAAGTTTTGTTTTCTTTTGTTTTCAAATTTTTTCAATTTGGGTTTTGGAGATTTGTAGGAAAATTGAGATTTGAGGGTCAGTTACAAGTACAAAAGTAGTCAACATACTCTTTGTTTTAGGAGTTTTGTTTTCTTGTGTTTTGCTTTGCATTTTTTTTCAATTTATTTTATAATTTTTTTCACCATTTATATCTTGTTTACTTAATCGACTAATTTGATTTGGATTCGGTTTATTTAATAGACTAATTCGGTTTGGAGATCAAGTCTAATATCAAGTGGTTTCAGTCCTTTCTCAATCGAAATTATAGAGGATCGAGCTGTAATCTTCTCTACTACATTTAACGTCAATCATCATTGAACCAACTAACGATTGATATTTTATAAATTAATTTAAAATATTATTTTTTAAAAATAAAATAAAATAGAAAAATGATAAGGAGAGTGTTTCAAGAACACTCTTTAAGAATTTAAGAATATATATTCCTTTTTAAAATCCTTATATTCAATACATTGAATATTGAAAGAATTAATTTTTAAAAGAAAATCAAAAGGTAAGAATAAAAATGCATGTTTTTTTGAAAATATTTATATTCAATTCATTGAAAATTGAGAATAATTAATTTATTAAAAAAATATTTTTATTTGAAATCCTTAAAAATGAGATTGAAATACTTGTTAGCATGACCCAAATAAATAAAGCTATGTCGTTTAGGCTAAGTATAGATTCAATATTTAATAGAAATTTAGTATAAATTTCAATAACTTGTTCAAAATATATATTTTAATATTTTAATTGATTTCAATTATTTACATACCTTTGTAATATATTCACGTAAACCAAGTACAATCGTCTCATATAATTAGTCCACAATATTTTATTTTTATGATAGAGTGGACATTTAAATGAATCATTATTTAAAAAAATGGAGGAAATACATTTTGAACTCACATAAGATGACAATAATTATTTTTCTACAATTCCAATGACTTCTAAGGTCAATAACTTTGCTACAAATAATATGAAATATAAACATAATTTAGCTATAATCCAACACACCTTCTTAGACAAAATGGAACATATACCTATTACAAAAAAAATTATCTATCATAATATAACATTAATGAGACTTTAAACTTTTTAAGTTAAGATTCTTCATAGATATCAAATGTCCAATGTTTGAAGAGTATTCCACTAAAAATTTAAAGAAAATTGACTTTTTTTTCCTTCATGAGAAATGTTTATACACAGACTGCTTTCCAAAAATTTTATTCACATGCTTCATTTTTTTCCTTCCCATAATCGATTATCTTTCAAAAAAAAAAGTTGTATATTCTTCTAATTTTCCATTAAAAGTTTTTTTCGGCTCTCGATAATGATTTTTAGAATTTAAAAATCTATGATAACATAGAAATATAGTCTTCTTGCATTTCCTCAATCGCATCATATTTGTATATCATCTTCACATACGGGATGTGCATACTTTCCTTTGATAGTGTAGTTAGATAGATTATCATATGATAAAAAATTATCAATTGTTTTAAATAAAATAGCTTTTAATAAAGTGAATAGTTCTTTATTGTACTCATCATATATTTCTACACTTGTCTTCAAAAAAAAGCTTCAAGTATTCAATTAGTGGAGGCAACTATATATCTATATCATTCCTAGGTCAAAAAATAAACAAAGTCAATATCATAAACTTGCGCTTCATGCATGGTCAATAAAAATATTTATAAATCAACAAAATCACCATCCATGTATTATACTAATAATTACTTTGAATACCACATGGGTTTATTCTGTGATTAGACAATGTTAAGACATAGATTTATTGCCTCTTACATGAAATACGAGTAATCATTATTTTTTTTCCATTAAGGAAAATTTGGAGGATGTTCAAGCACTTAATCAATAATCATATCATTTCCTGTCATGTTAAGTGTTTTAAAAAATATTGAGATTATTAAAAAATACCACAACACTTTTCATAGAGTTTTTGTTTCTTCTTATATCACGTGGGAACCATATTTAAAACATATACTTAATGATGAAAACTCATTTCTTCTCATAGCTCATTCTAATGTAAAATCACTACTATAGAAATGATTTTTAGCAGTGCATGAAAAGACAGTGCTTTTTGAAAAAGTGCTGCTAGCTTTTTGAAAAAGTGCTGCTAAAGAGTTAGGGAAAAAAAAGAAAAAAAAATAGTAGACTTTAGATAACGCTTTTAGAAAAGCGCTGCTAAAGGTGACTGTTATTGTTAACGATAGAAAGCGCTTTATAAAAAGTGCTGCTAAAAGTAGGCCCTACAAAAGCGCTTTTAGAAAGCGCTGCTAAATGGTCCTTCTAAGAGAACGCTTTTAGAAAAGCGCTTCTATAGGTGGTACAAAATACAACGCTTTTTTAAAAGCGCTGCTAAAGGGATAACCTACAAGAGCACTTTTAGAAAGCGCTGCTAAAGGGTCCTTCTAAGAGAGCGCTTTTAGAAAAGCGCTGCTATAGGTGGTACAAAATACAACGCTTTTTTAAAAGCGCTGCTACAGGTCCTTCCTTAGCAGACCTTAGAGAGCGCTTTTATAAAGCGCTGCTAAAGGCCATGCAAAAGCGCTGCTGTAGGTTTAAGTGGCATAAATTTAAAAATTCCCAGAAAATTCATAAACAGAAACAATCGTGGTTGTTGGCATTCTTACGCTCGCAGCACATAAAAAACCCAGCGAATACCTACGTCCATTGCTTCCGGCCGACCGTCTTCCCCTCCTCTGTCCGTCGCCGTCTTCCCCTCTGTCCGTCGCCGTCTTCCATTTGTTTATTGCCGTCTTATATTTCCGCCTCCATCCGTCACTTTTGACGGTCTGTCTTCTTCCTCCACCCATTCTGCACGAAATCTATAGGTTTACTTCGAACCAATCTCGCAATGTTGTTATTTGTTTCATACTGTTAGCTTTCCATGCACATCAATGGTGAAAAACGGTTGTTAACATTTTCACAGTTTCTTATTACATTGTATTTCTATATAGTAGTTGAAAAGTTGTTCTGCATATTCCTATATAGTAGTTATATTTTATTTCTATATCAGACTTCGACTTTCATTCACACTACATTGTTACATTTTGTTTTGGTTTTGACTAATACAAGTGTTGAGTAGTTTGTTTCGGTTTGATATTGTTTCCTTTTATTTTGATGCAAGTTGAGCATATAGTTTTTTGCTTTGATTCGATGCTGAATATGTCCAATTAATGTTAGTTGTTAGGATGCAATTAAATTGAATTAGAGGTTAATGAAGTATTAGTTGTGAAAATGGAATGTTGTTGTTGTTAATGTTGTTGTTAGTGTTGCTGTTGATGTTAAAATGGAATGTTGTTGTTGATATTAAAATGGAATGTTGTTGTTGTTAGTGTTGTTGAATTAAAGTAAATGAATTGTTGTTGTTGATGTTATTGTTGTTGATGAAAGTAAATGAATTATTTATGTATATATTTCTTATTTACATACTTGTCATTTATTTGCTAATTTGGTTTTTGTTAATTACAGGTATTATGGCCACCAATGAGGAAAAATCACATGATGGAAACAAAATAACAAAAGACGTGAAAGACGATATTAAAAAAAGAATAACGATTATGAAAAAAATCATCCATTCCAGAGATAAAGGTGTAAAGTATGATATGCATTGGAATGAAAGAGATCAATTAATTGAGTCTAACGGTGCAATGCTGACAAGTTACATTGGAGCACTTGCTCATTCGCAAATTCCAATTACTTGCGATAATTGGAGAATTCCTTCGTTACAACCGGCTAAAGACAAAATTTGGAGTGAGATACAGGTATGATATTTGATATTTTTTAATTATGAAGACGATTACATCTTTAAATTAATTATACTAACATGTTATATGTTTGCAGAGATATTTTAATATTGATGATTGCAGAAGAAAATATTGTCTTCAATTGGCCGGAAAATGACTGAGAAGATTTAGAGCATTTTTAACGAACAAGTTTCTTAAAGATTCTGATGGAAACTTTGTCGAATCAGAGCGTCCAACGAAGTACACTGATCTGATTTCAGATGAAGAATGGGAGACATTTGTTGCCAAGCGAAGAACCAAAGAATTTTGCGTAAGTACAACTTATCATGAATAATGTATAATATATATACTTCTTCCACAAGAGTTCTAATAAAGGGGGGAGGGGGAATAGGCAGCGCTTTTCAGAAGCGCTGCTAAATGGGGTGGAATAGGCAGTGCTTTTGAAAAGCGCTGCTAAAAGGGGTGGAATAGGCAGCGCTTTTCAGAAGGGCTGCTAAACAGGGGGGGATGGGGGATTAGGCAGCGCTTTTGAAAAGCGCTGCTAAAGGGGGGGAAAGCGCTGCTAAAAGTGCTGCTAAAAGGGGTCTATAGCGGCGCTTTATCCATAAAAAAAAGCGCTGCCTTTATCTTTAGCAGCGCCACTTTAGGCAGCGCTTTTAAGCGCTGCTAAAGGTCTTATTTGACATAGTGAATGACATTTTCTTACCCTCATAAGTGTGACGAAGGTGCATGTTTTTTAGGCAACATATCTTTAAAAGAGTTAGCAAGTTGGCAAAGCTTTTACTAGACCATCCATTTCAAGCTTTATTGTTTTACAACTTTAAAACGTAGAAAATTTTATAAACATAAGACATCCATCATACAATGGTGTCTCTTTGTATCACTCACTAGTTTCTCAAATATTTCAGGACATCACACAAACCTTCTTCAATTACA